CCCTTGAGCTTCCTCTTCTCCAGCCTAAACAACTCCAGCTCCCTCAGCCTCTCCTCAGAGGACTTGTGCTCGAGTCCATTCACCAGCCTTGTTGCTCTTCTCTGGACCTGCTCCACCACCTTGACATCTTTCCTGAACTGAGGGGCCCAGAACTGGACACAGTACTCCAGGTGTGGCCTCATCAGGGCTGAGACAGGGGAAGAATCACTTCCCTGGACCTGTTGGCCACACTGTTCCTGATCCAGGCCAGGATGCCATTGGCCTTCTTGGCCACCTGGGCACACTGCTGACTCATGTTCAGCCTCCTGTCAATCCAAACTCCCAGGTCCTTTTCTTCCTGGCTGCTCTCCAGCCACTCTGTGCCCAGCCTGTAGCTCTGCATGGGGTTGCTGTGACCAAAGTGCAGGACCTGGCACCTAGCCTTGTTGAACCTCATCCTGCTGGAATCAGACCATCTCTCCTGCTTGTTCAGGTCCCTCTGAAGAGCGCTCCTGCCTTCCAGCAGGATCAACACTCCCTATCAGCAGGGTGTCATCTGCAAATTTGCTTATGGTACACTCAATCCCCTCATCCAGATCATCAATAAAGATATTAAACAGAACTGGGCCCAACATTGATCCCTGGGGGACACCACTAGTGCCTGGCTGCCAACTGGATGCAGCACCGTTCACCACCACTCTCTGGGCCCGGCCCTCCAGCCAGTTCTTAACTCAGCACAGAGTGCCCCTGTCCAAGCCGTGGGCTGCCAGCTTTTGCAGGAGAATGCTATGGGAGATGGTGTCAAAGGCTTTGCTGAAGTCCAGATAGACCACATCCACAGCCTTCCCCTCATCCACCAGGCAGGTCACCTGATCATAAAAAGAGATCAGGTTGGTTAGACAGGACCTGCCCCTCCTCAACGCGTGCTGTCTGGGTCTGCTCCATAGTTCTAAAGTTCTTTGTGGCTAAAGTTCTTTGACTCCAAACACATTTTGAATCCCATCACAACTCTTTGTTATATGTGCTATCCCTAGGTGCCAAACTTGGGAGTACAGCCAACAGTTTGCTAATACTGAGGCCACATAATGGAAGGACACTACGCAATGGTCATGCTTGAAGCAGGAGTCTGCCAGAAGGTGTAGCAAGATGAGCTATTTACTCTAAAGGACTAAAGTTTAAAAAAATATATCAAAATAAGAAAAGCCATGAAATGCAGTTATTTTGTGCAACATGCTTTCTTAATGTTCCCACAACACTTTGTTCATCACCTACAACTCAGTCTTCCACTGGAAAACCTTAGAGACAAAAGTGAAATAACTACCAAGCTCACTGTTAAAACAACTGGAAGTCTTTTGGGGGCTACAAATTTTCATGCTTAAAGAAAACAAACACTGTTAAAACAATCTTGCATGTTTGGACAACTCCAGTTGCAGAGTTTCATGCTTTGACCATTTTATGTGGTTTGATGCTGTCTTTATCTTTCATAGTAACCATATGAAAAGAAAGTCAAATCCACCTATTCTCAAATATTTGAACTTCTACAATGTTTAGGTATTCTGCAGTTTGTTGATAGCTGACTTAAAGTACAAGTTTCCTTACAGTCTAAAGTTATTAGGCAATTTATATGATTTACACTATTATTCAGAGCACTGCTTTCTTGTTGGGTGGAACTGAAATATATTTAATAATTTACATTCAATATTCATGACACCAAGTTGAAAGAAAATGCAACAGCACCAAATGAAAAAAAAAATAATCTAACTTAAGTTTGTTCTCTAGCACTTTCTGATTTTATGAATTAACATTAATTCCATTTCTTAAGATCTTAAGTCTTACAACCACAAAGGAAAAGAGTATATTATGATAAGGTTCCATTCTTTTCCTCCTTCATTTTTGGAAATTTTTGAAAGTGCTCTATCTACGTTAATATACTTTTGGAAATGCTTATTCATTTTTTATCAGCAAATGCTCTTCATTCACCTCTCTGATGACACATTATTGTAAGCGTCATGAAACAGGAAAGCACCATGTCCTGAAAATAAAAAAATATTAGCACAGAACTGGAAGCTTGACCTTGAAGAGATACGAATAAAGAAACTACCTAAAGACAGTGCATAAACTAAAACTAAAGATAAAATCTTCAAAAAAAGGAGCTGAACATGATCAATCTCCACTCCCTCTTCCTGACACAAATATTACAAATTAAAAATCTTAAGATTGCAAAGATAAAACCAAAATGTGACTCCTTCTAGTTTGCCAGCCACTGTGACCTGCTTAGGTAGCCCTTTGCTCTTCAATAAGAGTTTAACACTATTTTGATTATTTGATCATTAGACTAACAGCTACAAAAAATATTAGATAGATTGTAAAGCCAAATAGAGCTCCACAGCCATTTTGTCCAACATCCTCTACTCCTTAAGTCATGGAATATTATCTCTTTACTCCTATAACCCAATTACTTTTGTTTGAATACTGCAAACTTTTCTTCAAATGTCCCAAGATTCAAAATAAAATTACAAAAGTTGGCCTAACAGCTCACAAATACATTCAAGTCAAGGAATGTAGGTTTGGACTGAGATGCATATATGGAACTCAGCCAGTTTCTCATTTTCATTTGACACATAAAACAGGTGGTCAGTGACCTCCTATTTTCCTATCCAACCTCCTCCTTGGTTCTGGGCAAATATTATGCCACATATATTACACAAACAGACACAGAAACTGGTAACATTCTCTATCAATGATTTATAGTTATGACCTAACCCTTTTTTAATAAAAAACAAAATATAATTACATTTTTCTAATTATTCCAACTTTGGAACAAAATTCATTTAGCAGCACAGATTATTAGCATGGTCCAAGAACATTATTCTTGATCCTCACAGAAGAAAATTGACAGCTTTAATTCTGGCAAATGGTGTTAAGGAATATAATTAATAGAGAATTCTATTCTATTTGCTAAAGCAAAATCCTCTTCAAGAAAAATGAATCTCTACAAAAGCATCATGTGATGTTGCAGTAGGAGATAAAATCAGGTGACTGTAGTCCCTTTCCTTGAACTGAAATAGGTCCAATAATAGCCAGAGTAACTGAAAACAAAACAACCTGCCCATTGTAAAAAGAGGACAAGATAATTTAATTAAGAAACAAAGGTTACTAAAGAGGACTTTTTCTAAAATGAAGAAAAACAATGAGTGTCAGAAAAATATACTAGAAAAGAAGCATGATGTAGTGAACCAAATCCAACACAGAAAAGTGATGAAAGAAAAACAATTTTGAAAAACAATTTTAAAAAACACCAGCTCGTGATTCAATAATTGCTCTTTTCTCTCCTTTAACTTGCCTGTCCATAAATTTAGGCTGCCCAAAGGATCTCCTGCCTCCATAAAATTTGGATTCTAAAATGAGGATTTTGCCATAGTAAGAGTTGAGTGAGCTTAAGTCCTATATATACTACAGAGAAGTGACAGATGGAATTAAGTTAAGGAGCTGGAAGGAGACTTTTTTTAATATACTATTAATGATGCATTCATTTACAGTGGAAATTGCTGAAACGGAATTCCTTCACTTTTTACTGCAGCTGCAGAGTCTCAATATTTAACTACATTGCAGGGTTGGTTGGTTGTTTTTTTTTTTTTAATTTCCCTTTGTAATATTTCAAAGTCTCCTCCTTTACATGTAAAATACCTGTTCAGATTAGTGTGTCACTACACAATCTGAAGAGTTTGCCTACCTGTGCTAATTTGGTTTTCCACCATCCATGAAGACATTCCATGAAGGCCACAGTTAGTATTTAAGCTATTCTACATCTCCATCATATAAATAATATAAGGCAGTCTTCATTAACCTAAATTATTTAGAACTGCCATAAAACAAAATCCATTAATACCCAGCCTCCCTCTGCCTATTCAAAATGATCGGCTGTTTTGCACTGAAGACACTTACATTGTAAACACTGTGTTGCAAACTAAGCTAGCCGGGCCCTTACAGATACATGGAGTTACAGCTGTGTAATAAATTGCACAAATAATAGAAACATCTGGAGTATAATCTCTTCTCTGAATTTTTTCCACCATGTAGAAGGAGCAGATATTCAGCACTCATGCTCAAGTACAATATTCAGAGTTAGCAGACAATAATGGAAGGAGAAAGGAGAGAGCTGATTTAAAAATAAGAAGAGAATCACTTGTGCATTATTCCTATATTTAATACTGGTACATAAAAGAATATGCAGAATATCCTCCAATGGAATCTGCAAGCACCTATTTCATTACTATTCGATTAGTAACTTGAGAGTCACAGATGGAATTCACTATGGAAACAGGAGTGATTATTATGGAGACCAACCAAAGAAGAAAGGACATCTTCATGAGGCATCAACTTCCTTCAGTTTCTCTCTTTTTCCCAAAACACCTTTCAATAACACTTTCAGTAAAACTCTTTTACTGAAAGAGTAGGATGGCACCTGAAAGTCCAGCTATTTGCAAATGTTACTCTGTTTTGTTTTGTTATCCTATTCATCTCACTGGAAAAGCAGTGAAGAACCTGTACCAGTTCTGTGACCCTGCAGGACTGCAGGTAACGTGCTGTTCTAGGCGCACCTGGGGACACTCTGGTCTCTGGAATATGAACAGGGCAACTTCTCACTCTTTTCTAAAACTCATTGCCTTTTAGAGGCCACTTCAGCAAGCATGAACCTGGGACAATTGCTCCTCACCAAGGAGACTCTTCAGACCATTCCCTTCAAGGACTGCGTGCTAGCAGAGATCAAGTAAAGAGAATGATGGAGGAGTATTTTCCTGGCTCTGGTACCAGTTACACCAGGAGCCCTGTACAAACCATCAACTAAAGCCAGCAGTGTTTCGAGATAATAATGCTAGAGTTGTGGGGCTCAGAGCAGCCCAGAGTAGGGAAACCAGCTCTGCAGTTGCATGGAGCAACAGTAGCTCCATCCAGATCCACCTCCTCCAAGGTCACCTCGACCACAGAGCTTCTTGCAGGCCCGTCTCTGATGACGGCAAATGCGGCAGCACGTTTTCTGCTGCTCCCCGCCCATATTTCCCAGCGGAGCTCCCCGGGGCGGAGGGACCCGGACCACGGCTCCGCTCGGGGTGGGCGCTGCCGAAGGGCGCGGGGATGCGGCGAAAGGCGGCCCTGGCACTGTGCTCTCCGCCCCGCGGGGATGCGCGCAGCGGCGCGGGGGAGGGATCGCGCCTTGCTCCCCCCAGAGCTGCGGCCCCGGCCCGGCCCCGCCGCCCGCCTCCCTCCCTGCCCCGCTGTCAGAGCCGGCCGCCCGCGGGGCAGCGGGGCACGGCGGGTGTGCGGCGTCTCCCTGCGGTGGCTGCTTTGGTACCGAGGGCGGCGGCTGCGCCCCACGCGGGGTCCGTCCGTCTATCCATCCATCCATCCATCCGTCCGTCCATCACTGCGTGGGCGGCGGCTCGTGTGTGTGTGTGACTGACAGTGCGGCGCGCACAGCGCGGGGCAGCCGCCCCTCGCAGCCTGCCGGGGCCACGGCGGCGCGCCGCGGCTGCGGCAGCCCCTTCTCCGTCCCCCGGAGCCCTCCCCAGTGGGGGCGACCTCAGCGGCCTCGCTGCTCGTCCTCCTCCTCCCTCCTGGCGGGTAGGTTACGTTACCTGGTCTCTAGCTCGGGCTGGATCTAATCTCGCGGCCGCCGCCTGCTCCTCTCCCTGCCGCGGGTGCGAGTGGGGGAATTAATTTATTTATTTTCCATGAGGTGCCCTCGGCAGCGGGAGAGCCCGGGCCGGGCGGCAGGGAGGGAGGCCTGGGTGCTGCTGTGGGGCCGACGGGGCGCCCCTGTCCCGGGAGCGCTGCCGGGGAGCGGCCGAGACGCTTCAGCACCGGCGCGGGGGGGCGGGGGCTGCGGAGGAGACGCCTCTCGGGCTGCCCAACCCGGCTCCGCGGGGCCGGCGGGGGCGCGGCGCCCGGCCCGTGGAGAAGGGGATGGAGCCAGCGCCAGCGGGAGGTGGGGTGGGACGAGGCGGGACGGGATGTACCGCGCTGTAGCGCGCTGGTGCGGCCGGGCGGGCAGGGCCGGGCCCCCGCGCCACCTGGAGCCAGGCGTGAGTCCTCCCCGCCCACCTGCCCGCCCCGCGGCACCCAGAGCCGCTACATTCTCCAGAAATTCTGTCCTTAAGGCTAAAATCCTGTAGTGAAAGAGATCAACATAATCATATAATTGCATTATTAAAACCTTTACCATCATGCCTATTCTTATGCATAAAGGTTGCACATTATGTACAATATTTAAAGTAGTGTAAGGAGGCTGGAATAATTGTGGTCGTTGATATTGTGTTGCAAAACGTACAAAAGGAAATGTGATTATCATAGTATATATTTAAAAAAAACTTTATTGCACGCACTTTGTTAGTGAGAGCTTTATGAGTAGGATCTTTACAGGCATGTAAAGGAACTGAGGCTGCCTGCGTATGGATAAGAGGAGAGAGAACTTGGGTATGTACTAGTTCGCTGATCTGCTAGTGAAGGAAGGAAAGACTTGAACTTGTGCAGTTTATTTTTGTCTGTTTATTTTCCATTAATAACATTTGAATCCCTTAGCTAGCACCAGCCACAAAATGTTTAGAAAAATAATCTGGAAAGGAGCATGTCACCCTTCAAAAAAGTGGCAACATGAATGGCAATGCCCATTACACATTCAAGAATCCATCCACAGAGGACTGCCATCTGAAGCATGAGTTAACAGAAATCAGGTTTCTTTGGCTCCTTTTCTTATGAATCTGTTTCCTTTTATGTGAGAAGTGTTATCAATTATTCTCTGTTTTAAACTATAATCATTAAACCTGTAGATACCAGTAATGTAACATTTTATCATTCCTTCATTCTTTAGAATGTTATTGTTATAATTTATGTATTGTCTGTTTCCAGGGCAAGTTTTTCAGATTCAGGAGAGAATACTTTGTCACGTGTTTGTAAAGCAGCCAGGTCTCTACAGTCTCTGGGCAGATTCTGGCACTGTACTCATAAGGAGCAGTAAGTAGTTCACTGGTAGAGACAGCAAACACTGTTCTTCCTGAAACAAACTGAACAGTTTGGAATAATTTTTGTGACATTGCATAAACTAAGTAATACTTGAGTTACATATCTGAGTCCAGGGACATTTTTAGAAACAAACATGGTGACTGACAGGGCAGCTTGTGTAAGTCACAGTTACATTAATTTAGGTAGCAGTATCAGTCATCTCTTACGCAAGTGTATGAAAGGAGCCTGTGCCCAGCATCCTCACGGGCACAGTATCTGTCCGGGCAGCAGGTTGCACTACAGGCTTTGGGGTCCACTGAGGGGCCCACTAAGACCCACAAGGGGCCCACTAAACCAGTTGGAGGAAAGAACAAATGCTAAGACGTGACTCTTGGACATGCAAGCAAAGAAAACTTGGGTACCAATGCCCGTGGCCAAACTCTTCTAGGCAGGCCCACAATTACAGGGTTAAAAATGTGTAAATTATGATGAAATCTGATGAAAAGTCTTTCAAAGAAAAGCTACTAGTGCTGAAATCCCTCCCCCAAGCTGGGGGGAAGTCTTGACCTGCTAGAAGGCAGGAGGGCTCTTCAGAGGGACCTGAACAAGCTGGAGAAATGGTCTGATTCCAACGGGATGAGGTTCAATAAGGCCAAGCACTCTAGCCACAACAACCCCTGCCTGCTACAGGCAGGAGAGCAGCCAGGCAGAAAGGGACCTGGGAGTTTGGATTGACAGGAAGCTGAACATGAGTCAGCAGTGTGCCCAGGTGGCCAAGAAGGCCAATGACATCCTGGCCTGGATCAGGAACAGTGTGGCCAACAGGTCCAGGGAAGTGATTCTTCCCCTGTCTCAGCCCTGATGAGGCCACACCTGGAGTACTGTGTCCAGTTCTGGGCCCCTCAGTTCAGGAAAGATGTCAAGGTGGTGGAGCAGGTCCAGAGAAGAGCAACGAGGCTGGTGAATGGACTCGAGCACAAGTCCTCTGAGGAGAGGCTGAGGGAGGTGGGGTTGTTTAACCTGGAGAAGAGGAGGCTCAAGGGAGATCTCATCACTCTACAACTCCCTGAAAGGAGGTTGTAGCCAGGTGGAGGTCTGTCTCTTCTCCCAGGCAACCAGCAGTAAGACAAGAGGGCACGATCTTAAGCTGTGTGAGGAGAGGTTTAGGTTGGACATTAGGAAGAAAGTTTTATGGAGAGAGTAACCAGACATTGGAATGGGCTGCCCAGGGAGGTGGTGAATTCTCCATCCCTGGAGGTTTTTAAGATGAGACTGGATGTGGCACTTTGTGCCATGGTCTAGTAACCGCAGCGGTGTTGGATCAAGGGTTGGACTTGATGATCTCAGAGGTCTTTTCTAATGGGGCTGATTCTATGATTCTATGATTTCCTCCACTGGTATGCCTTAACTATTATAAATATATACTTATATAGATATAAATGTACAGTTTTTTAAATTTATAAATTTGTACTATGTATGTTATAGACAATAAATTTTACACAGTGACATCTCTGAGAAGGTAAATCACATACACAGTATTTGCTGTACTACATAGTACATGCTGCATGCTATGTAAAACAGTGCTACATACAATACAAATTGATGTATACTGTACTTACAAATAAATTTTGATTTATTATACTGCATATATTAACATCTATATAGATTATATTAGTGTATGTTAATGATTACATTGACATATACATTTTCTCTATATACATATGTGCCTCGTAGCTTCTTTCAATACCTCTTTTCAGAACACCCTCTTTAGGAAAGGTGTATTGTGGTGGTTTGAAAAACCTTTTCTCTGAGGTAGTAATGGTTTGCCCCACTGATAATACTGGACCAATCAAAAATCCACATGCACCCTATGGAAATTACATACCCACAGAAACGGAAGAGAAGGTGGTGAAGATGGTTTAGAAGGTAGGTAGCCATGATCTGAGCCAGGAGGAAGCAGGGGGCCAGTGAGCCCCTCTGGGGGCCAAGGGCCCCCAGCCCCCAGCTGAGGCTACGGGAGACCCAGTATAGTGTCAAAGCTGGACCGGGTCCCATAATCAAGAGCTGGAAGAGTTTCCTTACTGTCAGCAGCAGCAGAAGCCATTGAAAGCGACAGTGGAGCAGTCCTGAACAGAGACAACGGTGGCTAAAAGCCAAAAAGATAGCCAGTAGCAGTAAGATAACGTGAAGCTGGCTGAAAGACGCAGAGATGTTCCTGCAGGAGGGAGAGCTGGCAACAAAACAGATGAAAACTCAACAGGGCTGTTTTGGGGTAAGACTGTATCACTTTCCCAAAACCCGGAGACCTCCTGAAGAGGAGGGGTGGACTTCCAAACCCTTAGGGAGTCCCAAAATGCAGCAGCAGCTAGAGAGAGAAAGGAGCTGAAAAACTTGGAGTTATCCTGAGAGCTGAACCAGGACGGAATGAGGAGGAGGTGGCCTTGCCCTCCGCTGCTGCTGCTGCTGCTGCTTCTATCATGCTGGCAAGCTGAGACAGAGCAGAGGAGCTCTGGTAAGACTGAACTGAAAGCTGCCTTAAATGCTCTAATCCAAGAGAAGTGAAGGTCTCCAAGGAAAATCCTCCGAAGGCTCGGGGTTGGAATTTCCACAAAGTAAGAACAAAAATCCTGACTGCTGTACTTAAATCTGCTGCCTTAGAAAAATTAAAGATACTAATAAGTGCCACAAAAAACTGAAATGAAGGAACTGTGGCCTGAGGAGTGACAGAAAGAGTTTTCTCTTTTCTTAGACTTTTATTGAAGGAAAAGAGGAATTTAATTTAATGTAAATATATATATGTATGTAAATAAACATTTGTAAATATTTTCCCCTTCCCCCAATAACGAATAGTTGTGTTTTGTCTGAAAACTCTCCACATGAGGTGAGGAAGATATCAAGTCCATGCTATCACTAAACCCTCTCACAGGGGCAAATTGTGGGAAGGGGCTTGAACTTAGAAATTGGATTCTTGGGAGTTTCAAACCACCACATGTATGCATCTTAATTTTCTTACTGTTGCAGTTTTGTGTTTTCTAGTCCAGGGCAGAGTCTGAACATAAGCTGGATGCATTTATAACTGTGTTATTCTAGCCTACAATCTACATTAAGTTCAGATACAGCTTAGTGCCTGCAACTGCTTAAGGTCATAAAAATTACCATGAGCCCTCAGACTAGAAGTTAGTGTATGACTTTATTTTTTATTCTGACTTTGATTGCAGTGACATCAGGTTTTTAAAGTGAATACAGTCCTCGGTGAGTGCCTGTAGAATGAGGACTCTGAAGTAATTTGATTCCCTGTTGCAGACTGAAAAAAACTTGTTGTCATTCTGCATCTTTCCAGTGTTGGTGCACCTTTGCTGTAGGAAACCCATTATTCAAAGTAAAAATGTTCATAGCTACCCTCTTAGGGTAAGAATTAAAAATGTTTGAGTGATAGCAATTAATCATTTCTGAGTGAATTTCTGGAAGCTACCAAAAGTTCAGAGCTGGTACCTGTGTATATGAGTCTCTGTATGGGAGCGTGGCATTATGTATTTTTCAGTGAAATAGTTGTAAAGAAGAAATTAAACCACTTATCATATACACGTGTGTCTATGAAAAGAGTCACACATCTAGTTATTCATTTTGTCCATTCAATAGTGTGATAGATTTCTGTGAGGTTGCATGTTAAACACTCTCTTGTTTTGGTTGATAACAGCTTGAGGTCTTTTTAGTGATATTAACATAAAAGATTTGTAAGTGTTAGTTTTCACTAGAGAAAAAAAAATGCTGCTAGCATTGAATATGTGATGGTATTTTCTCTAAGTCTATCCACTTAGTGTTTGGGTAAGTCCTCTACTAGAATAGTCCATTTTCCCCACATGCCACTCATTTTAGTTGAAACAAGAATTTTACAGGTCATCCACTGAGCTTAGATTCCTCTGCTACATCTCAGGTTATGTCTTTCTTGTTACAGAGTTTGAATATAAAGGATGCATGTTTATGGTTGTGTGTTGTTCTGGCCTGCAGAGGATTACATTCTGATTATGTTCTGTTTTTTTCTGGATTGGTTTTGGTTCCATATATACCCAACTCAAACTTCTCTCATGTCCATAAGCAGGTGGTGGGGCGCGCATTCTCTTCATTTCTGTCTGATACACAGGACAGTATCATGAATATTATATTGGTGAATCATATAGGCCACCTTCTGTGAGCTTTATATTAACAACTAATAGTCATCAACCTGTGTCTCGCTCCACCCCCATTCATACACACAAATAGCTCTCTCATTACCATAAAATTTAATCCTAGTCTTATTAGTGAATGAAATACATATACGTCAAGTTTTGTGATAAGATTCATTTAACTATTAGAGTGTAGAATTCTAATGACAATATATAGCCAAAGTATGTCTTTCTATTGAGGTCAGTTTTCTCTATAACCATCAACCATGTCTATTCTAGGCCCAATAAAATTCTTCTCTTTTACAGCTCATGGTGACAGAGAACACAGCACATTGTAACTACAGGACTTTCACTCGACTGTGAAAGATCTCTATCAAGCCTCACAGAGAATTTGAGGCAGCTGGCAGTTATCAGCTGAAGCAGGTAGTCAGTAGAAGTGTAGAAGATAAATAGATAATTGAAAGCCAATCTGGAAACCTGGGAGAGATAATAAGCCTCTCTTCTAGAAGGGAGCCAACAACTCAGGTAGGTCACTGATGAAATCAACTCCCAGATCAGGTTGTGTCTAATACTACTGAAAATACAGTGGCAGTTCATGCCTATCATGACTGAAGTAGTAGTCAAGTTGTTGGAAATGTGGTTTGGTGTATTCAGTTATATAAATCAGTATTGCACTAGAATGAAGAAGGATCATACTGCTGAAAGACAGGTGACCAAAATCCTAGGAGCACCATGGCCCTCTGCTAAATTACAGTTGCCAAAATAGAAAAGTAGTTCCACCCCCTTCTTACCCTCCATGCTGCTTTATCTGCCATGCAACCATTACATAGTATTTCTGCCATACTGACCGTAGTCCTCTGTGGGGCAAGTGATTACTTTTTCATGTGATTTCTATTTTTATTAAGATAATGGAACTGTTCTGTTTTCTCTGCCACGAGCACAGAGAATAGAGGGGAAGGCTCATGTCTACAACTAAAAGAATGTGTTGATCTTAGTCGCTCCATTTTAAAAGTCTTAAAAGCAATCTTTCTCTTCAAGTCACTCTTATGATTCTCAAATTCCTGTCTGCAGAAAAGTGTGAAATCTTGCATGAACGTGCAAGGAAACTGGTACCATTTGGTAACTCTTCTTGCTGGGTTCTGAGTTCTTGTAGAACTATATTGGTGGTAGGGAGATGGCACAGGGAGATATTTTTGTGAGAGCAGGCACAGAGAAGAAGTCTTTGGCATATTGCCAAAAAGAAGGTAGCATTTTTCCACCAGAGAAGTGTTTGAATTGTTCTGCTGCTATGTCTTTATTTTGTTAAACAACTCAGGTGGACCACAGGAAATAGCTGATGACAATGTAATATTAATTCTTGTGGAGGTGAACAGAACAACAAGAAAACAAAAAAACAACCAACCAACCAAAGAAAGACTTCTGCTGCTCTTTGCTTTAAAAGATGCTTTTTAAAAATTTTTCTGCAAGACACATTTAAAAATCTGTCTACAAGAATTATAAATAATTCTGTGCATTTACACTGGAAGAGCATAAAGCAATACACATGCATCAAATATTTCTAGAGTGTTAGTTGCTACAGTTACAGTACTAGCTAAGAAAGCAACATATTAGATTCAAAAAATCCATTAACAAAATTTACATGTGTCCATGTTGCTGGTTGCAGAAATAATATGATTCATTCGAGCAGTCTATGTAATTCTTAAAAAGTAATGGATGTACATGTTTTTATTTTTTATGTATTGTTTTAATATTTGTTTTACTATGATACTGGACGTTAATTACTTGTGTACTTCTGTAAATTCTGCTTCTAAGTAGTGATTGTTGAGGATATTTTTCATATCTCATTCTGTGACTGCTAAAACAAAAAAAGATCAAAGTTTTAAAGCTTAAAAATGCATCAAAAGTTTAAAATTACCATTTGCTATTTTGAGCCCTAATTCATCTTTCCATTATAATCCTAGTGATAGGCTTCAGGCCAGTCTATCAGTCTATCAGTTTCTCAGTTTCGATGCAACTGTACAACTGTAAATTACCATTGTGTTATAAGACATGCCTAACTTCATTATATTACAAAACTTCTTAGGTAGCAGGAGAATTTGCTTTCTGATGTACATATTTTTATTTGCTTTTAAAAGAAGATGAAATGAAATAGCAAAAAAAATTGCTTTTTAGATAAAATTTCAGAATTTGCCTAAATATTTATTATATTAGAGTCCAGTATATCAATAATTATAATCTAAGAAGGTGTTGACAACATGTTGTTATAAACAGTCCAAATAATACCTAGGACAGTATATAAAGCCAGAACTAAGAAAGCATCACTCTCAGGGAAGCATCCTTATAACTAGGATAGAAGCAGATCTATTTTACTTTTTTCTCTCTCTTATGAATCCTTGGAATATTTCAGTCTTTTTCTGTGTTGGGATCCAGATTCAACAGGAAAAGCGGAGAATAAATAGTTCAGCTCAGGCTATGTAACTCTCTGAGATTTAGGTACTACTATAGGACGTCTCAACAGAGGAAGGTCTTAGCATTTCTTTCTGGTCAAGGTCTCTAACTGTATGTAAAAGGAGACATCCTTCATTATCTGGTTGTGCTCAAAAATTTATTCAGTGCTCTAAATCTCAGGAAATGAAGGTGTCTGTTCTATGTAGGTACATGAGTTGGATTAACTGTTCAGACAAACATCATGCTTGACTGTTCCCTAAGCTATTTGCTTTACCATCAGGGCAAAGAAAAACGCTTCCCTCTTAAGGAACTCCTCATGGATGCACTTAAACCACTGCTTGTATGAAAGTAGGGCTGCCTAAGGAACTACATATGATTCATCCTGCAGCAATAATAGTCTGAATAAGAGTAGATGGGTTTGCAGAAATATTAAATGGCAGCGTGTATACTCTCAGATAGGATCACATTCTGCACTCAAGGTAACATGAAAGCCAAACTCATCAGCTGGTTTACAGAATATAATGAACATCTTGAACACCATGAGCATATACTAAACTTCAGTACTTAATTTGTTATTCATTGTGTTGAAAATACTGGACTATATGATCAAAATCATACATGAAGAGCTTTCACTTCACGCCTTTATGTCTTCTTATTAAAATCATGGTTTACTTTGCAGCTCTCTTCTGGGATAGTCACATTTTCACAAAGTGGGTAAAACCTAAGAAATAAAAGTATGGTTGGAATACTAGTGTTCTGCATGCTTCAGAACTGTAAAAATCATCTGTATATCATGTATTTACTTTCTTTACTGATGAGGTCCAAAATGTAGTTTTGCAAGATAAAGGTATTATACAATATTTCAGTTGTAGTGAAATGTTTATGTTTTGGGGGTGGTTCTGAAGTGAATTACGAGGAAGCAGAAGTCAACTTTTTGGGGAGGAAGGTCTCAGACTGCTAATCCAAACCCTATTTTCCCCAACAAACACATAGCATAACAGCTTTGTGTTTGCACACCTTCACATATGTCTTCTTACTTTTTGGTGACGTTCTTATTCTGTAACAATTAGGCCTGATGGAGCTTCTGTTGAGGTTTTTTTCTACAGATTCAGTAATGATAATTTCTTTTTTCATATTTCCATTTTATTACCAGTCATTGTCTCATTGTCAGTAATATCTTTGCATGAACAAGTCCAATACTGACTTGGTATTGAAATATTCACTTCTTGTCAAATGGCTTGAATTCTGCTAAAATTTATTGTGGTCTAGGCTGAGGCTTTAGTGGAGATTAAGATGCCTTAGACACCTATATGGAAGGGCTCAAGTGTTAGCTATGTGTATAAACTCTTGTTCTGGACAACAGTCAGTGCAATCTGTGCACCCTATCAGTGCCTTGGCAGCTGACAAACTGCTTTGCATATGTTTCAGAGTGAGATGGGTTGTTCTCTAGTCTCCATCTGAATACAGAGAAAAAATATGGCATCATGTGAAATGTAGTCAGTTTCTGTCTTGCAGTTCTCTACAGGATGAAATTCCCAGAAACTGGAAAAATACTGTACTGTGATCATTAGATTCCTGACAAAAATAGTGAAAAGAATTTTCTTGAGTTTCTCCCAAAGATAAATTAGGATTATGTAAAATTGTCATTTGCTGTGACTCATGCACATCATACAACTCTGTACTCTAAGCTGGTAACACAGATTTGGCCAATTAACAGCAATCTTGGATATCTTCATATGCCTTTTCTGAAAATGGCAATCACTGTAATGATGTCAGTTCTTGGATCTCTTGGGCTTATTCAATACATTTAAGATATTAACAAGATTATTTGAATTGGTACCCTGGGATAATGGGAGACTGCATTTGTGGATGCAGAAGGTTATTCTGAATTTGGTGTCCAAGTGTCTTATTTACCTGTTCCATGTGAATAAAATGCTTGCTGTAAACATAGTTTTTTGTTTCTTTTATAGTGATTCTATCTATCGGGGGAAAGGAAATCATCTATCCCTTATCCTAGAAATATTTGCTTCTCATAGCACTGGGTTAAGAAGATCAGCAGCTAATATACCACAGAACAGGTTTGAATCCAACCATCAAATAAGATCAGAAAGCAATTGCAAAGGACACCATTGAAAGAATGGTCGAACTAAGGTTACACAGGGTGGCTACTGACCCAGCTACAGAGACAGAGCCTAGACAGCTGCAGAGCAGTGGCAGCCAGCCAGCGTGCCTGAACAGATGAAGATGAGGCCAAAAGGAGGAGGACTTAAGATATTAGCTGCTCTAATATAGAACCAACAAGCTATATAAGATCCTTACATACTCGGACAAGAATTACAACACCTACTTGGAAACAAAGTCCTTGAAGCTTCTTGTGCAAGTTTTCAAATAGAATTTCTCATAGCCAAAGTATTTAAAAAATATTAGCTTTTGAGACATATTTAATTCTAAAAATTGTTTACATTAGGTACATCATAAACAATCTTTGCCCTCAATACATCATATACTGAGTCATTAAAGAGAGGCCATGGCTTCACAGGCACATTTCAGTCTATGCAAAGATAATCCAGATTTTCCTTCTTTGATTGGTAATTATGATCTCTGAACCCATATATACTGTTTCTAGTATCCCAACTAGCCCACTCTTCATGATGGTATACAATGTCTTGTGTACTTTAATTGTTCTTTGAACAAACAAAAAGTTTGAAGGCCCCATTTCTCTCTGAAAGTGCATTTTTCAGATATAATGTATAAACTGTGTGCATCTCCACTGGATGAAAAGATTATTTTTCCTATTCTATTTATAAAATGTATTAATGATTTACGGAATAGTTGCAGACTGATGCAAAGGCCTGACAATTGAAAACCAAGCAATTAAACAGCTCAAAAAGGAAGAAAAGAGATGCAGTACAGAAAGATATATGCAGAGAACCTGTAGGTGTCTGCAACCCTCCCCATTATTCTCCGTAGGAAGTACTCAGGATTAGCTATGGATGTAGATGATGTCAGAACCAGTCCTCTAAACCTTTTCAATTTTCCAACATGAAAATCTGTTGTAGAACTGTGGTACTAGGTATGAAACAAACTCTTCTTTTTTTTTATTTCAATTGATTTTTTTTCATTAAATTTTAGCTTGTCTGCACTATATACTGCGTATATTTTTTCTTATTAAGCAAAAAAAATCTTTCCTGATAAGGGCATCTTTTCTGTGAAAGCACCTCTTAAAATAGACTAGCTTGATGCTCTGGATAGCACTTTGACATTGAAAAAAACCAGAAAGATGCAAACAAATCCTGGCAAGTGTGGAAGTGATGCCTGCATAGTTCAGAAATGATTTGACTCATTAGTAGATTAATAGGCTGCACAGAGACCTGGATCTTTGAAGGAAGTCAGTGAATTAAGGGCAGACTTACCCTGTAGCTCCCATTAGCCTGCATATGTGGATTAGCTAGATCTAGAGATATTTCTGTCCCATACAAATCAGTGGAACAATGGATATAGGTTTTATATAAAATCATCACAGCCATAAAATGGAATGTAGGAACATTTTACAATTACTGTAGTTAGAATGGTCAAAGCATTTAAATACAGCTTTGTCAGGATTTTTATTCTCAAGGGCCTACCTATTCAAAAATCTGAGGTAGCTGAATATCACAGAGTTAGGTTTCCTAGTATGGTTAATTTTTTTCCTCAGTAATAATTCATAAAATCATTTAACAACTTTTGTGCAAAAATATGGTTTGATGTATCTGATAGAAGCTATACCTGCTCTTGACTGAGAGCAAAGGAATGGGTAAGATGACCTGTTATCTATGACTGCAAGCCACTGTTCCTACCCTTTGTCTTTCCAACAGTGATGAGTTCTGGTGACAGACAAAGTGAAATACAGCAGTCCCTTCCAAAGGGCTTATAGTGTTCTCTGTGTGCAGGAAGGTCAGCAAGATTCCAAACACTCCACATTAAAGAGTTCAATTGCAGGGAGGAGCCTTTGCCAGTCATGTTTTGAATTTCAGTTACTTTACATGAGATATATAACACACCAAAAGAAACTTTTGCAATGTGGTAGCTACACCAGACCTAAGCATCTAGGCTACCCTTATTCTCAGTGGTTAGAAGTAGGCATCTGAAGGACACAATTTCATCAAAATGTTCTAAAAGGGGTCAGTGAAATTGTGTTCTGTAACCATTTCTTGCTATTGGCTACAAAGACAAGCCAAGGTGTTAGTACAAGTATAAACAGCTGCAGTTTAAAAATCTAAAGGTAAACGAAATTACTTAATTCCTAACTTTCCCCTTGTTTACATATTGCCATCCTTTTTCATGGAAAAAATGGTTAGTGGACTCAAACCAAATTTATCATACTGCCTTTAGCTGATTTTTGACTGCTTAATAGTTCATTATATCCTCTCTGTTTGTATCCTATATACAATGACTTATCACAGAATTTTTGCTGATACTTCTGCCCTAGGTAAGCATAATATTACTTAAGCTGAAGAAGCCACTGAGTTGCACATGTGAACAGACTTTCTCCTACAACCTTCAACACGGAGAAGATGTGGATTGTGATGTCTTCACTGATTTTATTTTAGATGTAGTAAGAGACATTTCAACCTGGTTCTGCCTGCCCATCAACATATGCACCTCAACATAAGGACTTAAAACTCTGTTGGTCAGTTGCTCACTATACTTAAACCACAGGTTGCTAAAGTACTCCATTTGAAAGTTGCTAATGTGCTCCATTTCAAAAGTATACTTTGTAACGATCCTGTAATATGGATGTATTATCCAATAGAAGTGAAAAAATGTGACAATTTTGCTGAACTCGTATTTTGTATAAGTTACAATGAATCTTCCTCCAGACGGCTTGAATACCCATAAAGCTCTGCAGAAACGGGAGTTATTTACTGACAAGTCCAAAGCTATGGCTAATGAGCCCAGGCCATCAATGCAGCTACCATGGACCTGCCAGTAGCTGGCAGCTGATCTATGACATTCATGGAGAAGATATTTTTCTCCTGTGTGAAATATCTCTTTGCCAAGTGTGTTCAAACTTGGCACAGATAGAAATACTCAATGCTAAGCTATTTTCTGCTATGATAGGAAATACTGTGTTTGGTAAGTTCTTTCTTCCCCATATGAGAGCTATATTCTCTGTTTCTTACAGCCCTCATCAAATACTTAGCTAACCGTAGTTACAAAAATACAGTAAAAGAAGTAATATTCATTCAAAATCCTAGCTACCAGTCATCTTGTAGTGATCATTTAGAATTATCAAATAAAATAAGGCATGACACTCAAAGGGGAGCAGATTGGATGTATATATAATGAATTCAATTTCCATTCATCTCTCAGTGAGAGTTTTTGAAGAAGAGAAAGTTGGAAAAATTACAGTCGTGTTTTCAGTGAGCACAATGAGACTGTTGTTTATAAACCAACGCTCATGTTTTGTTATCCATATGTGACTATACAGTTAATTTTTCATCTTAAAGAACTGTGTTTGTTTAGTACTTTTGTCATACATTTCTGTCACTATCCTGAACAAAAAGAGTGAAGATAGAGTGGTTTAAAAAGGTTTTAAAAAGCCCCAAACGGCTCCCCATCCAAAAAGAACCCAAACCAAAACAGAAGTTCCAATGGGGAACTCTTTATATTGGCATAATATTTGGGGTAATTTATTGGTGGTTTTCTGAGTATTTCGTTTTGATGATATTATGGTAATTATTTTTATTGTGAATGAACTCAGAAGTGCTCAGATTAGCAAATGAGTGCTTTTCTAAATCTTAATAATGAAAGATCAATACATGATTCTAAAATTACTTGTGACAAATCCCAGCAATAATAGAGGAATATAGCTTTCAATTCACTTGTGTACTTCAGTGCATTTATGTCAATGAGACTATGTTCAATTCTTCTGTGCAAAGAATTGATTTTTCAATTTACCTTCTAAATTAAGTGATAGAAATAATTTCTGGGTTTCTTTCTTTAGTTTGAGATCAAAGTATTTTGTGACCCTGTATAAACAATTTTCTTGGAAGACAGATAAGAAAAGAAGAAAATGGACCAGATCCAGACAAAGCTGCTGGAGAAAGCCACGTATTTCTTTCTGTTGGAGTTTTAGAACACCTACACTGTGCATCTTAGGTTTAGTTTTCAGTTCAGCTTAGGGGAATTAACTCCTAAACTTCTTTAATCCTGAATTCCAAGCTGTGAATGGTTTTGAAAAGAGGCCAATTCTAACAAAAGTAAGAGAAGTCTTATCTTCTCTGGGTTACTGTCAGAATATCCATAGCCTTGGGAAAAAGTATTAATTTAACCTATGAAATAAACTGTTTCAGATTCCTACCCTCATTCAGAAGGAGAAAAATCAGAAAGAGTTCAGACAAGCACCATAAGAGGTGGGATGTGGAGCAAATGAAGACTGGGAAATTTATAGATAGGATATCCATATGTTGGGGAAACTTCACTTTATGTAAGACATCATCACTGACTCTGAGAGAGCAATAGCTTGATAGTACAGGGTTCAGAAAACTGTTCAAGAACCACTGGATTTAAAAGCACTAATACAAAACAGCACAGTAAAAGGTAAACATGCTCTCCCATTTCTTCTTTGTACTCTGATGTTAGGATGCTAACCTAGGATCTGGGAGAAAGCTGGGAATTTAATCACTGACTGTCAAATTTTGTATGGATGTCAGGAGCACTAGATTAAACTGGCATAATGATAGTTCTATGTTTGTATGTATGTAATGAAATTTTCAGAATTCTGGTAATGAGCACATTTGGCTTGTGCTCACATAATTTGGAAGTGACTGAAAATGCATTTTTGGAGAAATTCATGCTTTGTCAAATCATCATCAACATCACCATCATCTCTACTCATCTCTCCTCATCTGACATCAGCCTTAGCTGCAGTCATTCAATGAATGAAGATGGAGCAGAATTAAAAGATACCATTAGGAACACTTAGCACAATACGGGTGTTTGATATGGGGCTACATTTCGTTTTGCATCATACTAAATGATTGCAGTTACAGGAAAGGGGAGAAGAACTATCTAGTTTGTCAAATGCACCAAGAGTTGGAGTTACAAAATAAAATTGTTTGACTTAAGGAATTGAAAAGCATAAATGAAGATTAAGGAAAAAAATTAAATTGCTGATGCGTTGCAAATTTGGAACATGACTGTATGAACAAAGGCAATTTGCAAACACAGCAGTCACTCCCTCTATTCCTCTGCTTATGGCATTTAATGACTTCCTTGACTATTTTTGACAGCTTTTGTTTTCTTTGTCATGTATCTCAGTGTATTTTATAGGTTGAACAAAGGTACGTCAATCAGAATTACAAACCATCCTATTTCATGCCATGTTAGAACCTCCTTAAAATCTTCTTTCTCTCTGTCCCACCTTCACATACACACATACAGAAAATTAAGAATACATGAGTTTGCATAATCTGATAGTTTAAAAGTTTGTAGATAGAATTAAATCCAAATTAGTAAGAGAAAATTAGGTCATTTTAACTTATAGCGTTATATAAGGTGGTTTTTGAAAGAAGAAACATGAATGATGTAAATTATATTTGTTTAAACTAAAATAATTCTTGATTATGCAGTTTCAGAGTTTCTAGGGAAGTCATTGAAGTGTCTTGCTGAGAACCTAAATTTTTTTTTGAGAAGTGTGCATGCACAGTGTTATACAAGGTTTGTTTTTTATAGATTTCAGAAACAGGATTTCAAAGGCAATCAAATTCAACCTTCTGCTATTGCTGACTATGTTGTTACAATACTTTTTAAGATTTGGACATCTATATTAAAATAAACTTTTCTTCACAGAAAATATTTTCCTCCCGAAGTTCCTCACTTCAAATGGATGCATTTTAGAGCTTCTCTTATCTGATGTCATGATCTTTTTCTACTGAAATGGGGTACAGTATCAACCACATCCAAGGTTTCTGTTCACTCTTCTTATTCGCATGTATATCTTTGCCTTATTTTGACAATGTTTTTTAGTTAAGCTCTGACTTACCTTTTTGAAGATACTTCTTTTTTTTTAAAGCTTCAAGTTACTCCCTGTAATTAATGACATATTAGCTATGTATTGACTAAAGAAAGGATAAAACTTACTCACTCAAAGAATTCATGATGTAAATTTATGAGTGAAGTATTTCCTTCACTGCACTATGTTGTTAAATATATCCACTAAGAAGTATAAACATTTTCATTAATTTATGGAGTTTACCCTGGTTCTTGATTGAGACCATTCACAACAGTAGGCAACCACTGATTTAACAATAGTTTTGGGGTGAGTCATTCACAGAATTGTTTTTGAAGCACATCATAAAAATTATGCCAAAAACAAGTAGTTGTTCCCTCCAAAGTTGATAATCTTTTACTGCATCTGCAGAGGCCAGTCAAATTCTCTCCCAGCACTTTTTTTTCCCTTCAACTTCCTACACAAACTGAGAATCTAATTAACTCCTTCAGCACTAAATTCCCTATTCCCTGCAGCTATTCTAATTCAGATAGTAGCCTTTATATTATTTTGATGGAGTGATGTCTTTCACTAAGACCTTTAAAAGTGATTTTCCATGATGTACTTAGATTAAATTTTTGGTTCTCTTCTTTCCATACCTGAAACAGATCAAAATATCTATATCTCAGAAAGCATATACTCTTCTGCTACTTCTGAACCTGGAGATGTCTGTATGTAGTTAGCCCCTCTTTGTCTATCTAAAGCTTTGTAGGAACATATACGATTGCAGAATTATTTTGTCCTGAAAAGCATTGCCTGCTCTAAATCTGAACTCCATTATGATTTAGAAACCAAAAGACTGTTTCCCAAAGGATCCAATCTAGTAACTTCTTGTTGGATGGTCTCAGGAACTGTCAACAGAGTGTTCAATCTATGGCAAGCTACAACTGCTTCCTTCAGAAACCACGGCTTGGAAAAGAGATGAGATTACTAGGGTGCATGCTGATGGAAGGCAATATACATGGGTTTAATCATCACTCCCTAGATAATTTATGTACATTAAAGTTAGCTTAGGATTGAAACAAAATAATAATGGTAATAACAACGTTATTCACCCAATATGGAGCCCATCTGAAACTAATATTTCTAGCTGAGTGCTTTGAGTATCACTGTCAACCCCAACCTAAGCAACAGTCTTATTGTGAGGAAATTTGCTTGAGATATGAAAACTATGGATTTAAGCTTGTTGGAGTTGAAGGGAAAGAAGTAATTCTCTGCAACGTATTTATATAGTGAGCTACATTCTAAGGGTAGGTAGCATCAGATGTGCCTTAAAAAAGTTGAACCATGTTTGTTTACATGTTTATCCTGAGGAAATGATTTAGCACGAGTCCAAAATTTTCAATGCAGTCTCTTTAGAGTAGAACAAAAAAATAAAAACCAACCACCCCCCCCCACACACACAAAGGCCCCCCCCCCAAAAAAAAACCAAAACAAACCAAGAAAAAAACCCAAAAAACCAAAAAAACAAAAACCCAAACTAAACAAAAAACAAACAAACGAACAAAAAACCCCTGATTGGTCAAACCCTTCCTATAAACTCTTTATTTTCTTCCATGCTCAGAATGTGTGACCCATAAATTGCTAAACCTTGAAATATTCAATGACTTTCAGTATCACCAGTAGCATTGACCTGCATCTTCACCCTGCAACAACCAGTGACACCTGTACTTGTAAACAGGGAGCACACTTCAGCTGACACAGACTGGCCACAGCCACATAATATTATTGGCCTTGGGACTGTGCCTGGGAGAGTCTACTTTGATCCAGAGATACAGTAATGTCTTGTAATTTTCTTTATTTTTCAGTTAATGTGTTAGAAATAATGAAAGAATGTTGCAGCCCAGAATGTTGTTTTCAGATCACGTTACTGAGGGCATTTGTTGTAGGTTCTGGGTTGACATAGACAGGGCTTATGGGTGTATTCAAAGTGCAAGACTTGCTTTCCAGCTGGAGTTGGTATTAGGTTAGTAAGCGATAGCAGGGTAGAGAAAGCTCTGGGTGGGGGAGTGGCTCTTGGTTCTTGCAATGCCATGCATTTTCCAGGAGAGTGTTAGATGGTAGAGGTGAAAACCACGCCAGAGAGTATGTTAATTATTAAGCAGTATGAATAGTTGAGTTCAGGATTTGAGCTTGCTCTCTAGTCCTATTTTACTTGGCACTGTAGACATAGACAAATGAGATAAGGTTTTACTGCTGGGGTCATTTTCCCCTAATCTAAAAAATGTTTGAACATGAGTAGACAAGGAGACAGAAGTAGATAACATCAGGCATCAGGCTGGTTTCAATAACAAGGATTGGACAAAGGTAGCACAAAATTCTTGGTTTTCCGCTTCACAGCTGACGTAAACTCTGCTTTTACCCTCTGCTACATACATGTTTAGTGGATTTTGTTAGAAGGGAAATGATACAGGGACACCAGAGCAGAAATGGAAAGTAAAAGAGGAAACCAGATCACAGAGGAACTATGAATATGTTATAAAGAAAGAACTATGAATGTGTCATAAAACCATAACTTTGGAAATGGGTAAAGAGGAGTCTTAAACAGGACTTTCATAACTACAAGAGATTGCAATGACACCTTCATCCTAGTCCCACAATAGATCTTTGGAAGGACTATTGACTTCATTCCTATGGTATCACATTTTATTCAGTTGTTTGTTTTAAATAGAAGATCCAAGTAATAGATTAGTCTGGAGATATGTCAGTAAAACAGAAAGACATCTTGATTTTTAAAAAGGAAATTATACATCTTTGGCCAACCCTGGTATCCAAATCAATTAGTCTTAAAAATTATTATTTTTAATTATTAGTATTATTAAGTATTAGTATTATTAAACCTTTGAAACATCTTAAGACAGTATGTCCATAAAGTATAATAAAATAAGAACTATGCAGGGCCATCCAAAATATAAACTGGAAATATGACATACTTGCTCCTTTATGGATTTTTATATTATCACTTTATTCTAAGTGATGATTTTGTAGATTTTCAAATTATTCTTATTCTTAACGTTACTATAATTTGTGTATCTTTGTTTGAAAATTGTTGTAGTGAATTCATTAACAGCAACCAAAATGAAAAGATACATTGCAGCTGGCAAGCTTATGAAACAAATAATGTGACACAAAAGAAAAATAAAATAATTCTATTGTGTTAATTGCACTTAATTATAATTATATTACAATTCAGTCGTAATAGTGTTATTAAAATGCAGAACACTGCTGTTGCTTCTTGAAAAAAAATCTCTTTTCATATAATTTTCCTCACAACACTCCATGCTGTTGGTTTTGTTTGTTATTTGTTTAAAGGAATGTTAAATCACTTTTAAAAACATTATAGGTGATCATCAGTTGCATGTTTATACTATTTATTTCAATAAGACAAATTTATTGCAGAGACTACACCCTCAAGCATGTGCATTGACTACAGTAGAAATGTGGATCTGTAAAGGGCTGAACTGGCAGATCATTCTCCACGCAGTGCTTTTACCTTTCAGTTCCAGTACGATTTTGGAGAGTTAGTGTGAGAGGTCTTCACAGAATAATGGCCTGAAGTGAAGATGTGCTGATCGAGCCTTTTGTCATTGAAAAGTAAATCATCACCCCGCTGTTTTTAAAATCTCACGGACATGGCTTTATGGTGTGACTCTGAGAAATATTATTTCTAATTTTTCAAGGGGATAAGCAAATCTGTGAGAAGTGTTTGCTGAGAAATCAAGAACCCAAGGTGGGAAGGAGGGATATGATATAATTTTAACACATTTTATTTCTTTGACTATCCCCACACTATAACTCTCTCACTTCCGGCAGGAGCACTAGCCTGTTATTTTTTAGTGCATTGACAGCCATATAAAGATGCAGAGGTACTGAATTAACTACATTATTAACTAGCAAAGATGACAGTGGGAAAAGCTTGAATGACAGCTCTATGCTCTGCAGTACCATCTGAAGATGAAGATCTGAGAACAAATCTATCACAAAGGCTTTGTACCATAAGGACACCTCTTTCAAAATATAGCGCAAAGGACTGCAGTCATATACTGATGAACCTGAGAAATCCAGGTCTCCTTCATGAGCAGGAGAAAAGATGCTGTACTTCTTCTTCCAACAGCAAATTACAAGCACAAATCCCAGTAAACTTGACTTTATAGTGTCTTGCTTAAGAAGATCTCTGAAATTCACAGATAAGATGATGATGATCAACCTTAGCCACCCAGTCAAGTAATTTATTGAAAACATGGATTTTGTGTTACTGTCTTGTGAGTTGCTGCCTTGGAGACCCTAAATCCTGAGGAAACATAATATATATTAATTTCCTCACCCTTGTGCAGTTCTCCACTTCATTCAACAGGGACAAATATTGGCCCTACGTGACTATAGAACCACCTTTTTACTCTTACATGAGAGAAATTCATCTTGAAATTAAACAACTTGCTGCCAAAATTGGTTTGGTTTTTTTTTTTCTCTTTTTGCTGGGCTTATGTGATATTTTCAGATAGCAAGAGAGACTAGTTTGTACTGTAATCAGGCATTCTCCACAGGTGGTATTATTTGCCACTAAAACTGGGAAAACCTTCCTCTGTCCTTGCCTCTTTAAAGAGAGGGAGGATGTTCAGATGAAATATACAGATATCCTTGCGAGTGAAGCAAGAAGGCCAAAATGCACTCACAAGGACTGGAAGGGATTGCTGTAAGACTTGGTGCTGACATTTGCTTTGCATTAATCCTCTTCATCAAGAAAAGAATACTCTTCCCACAACAGATATATTCAAGGTGTTGGTGAGACTATGAATCTTTTGTCAGAAGTGTGAATCATTTTTTAGAGGAGAGAGAAAAAACAGATTAATAAAAAGGAAAGAAACAGCTGAACATCAGAGAGATGTTTCTCTGAGCGGCAGAGAGCCACATTCTGGCTCTGTCTGATTCAAAGCAGAAATTAAAACACTGGTCTCATTCTGCATTTAAGAGCAGAAATCCCATTTTTGAGAAACATTAATGAAGATAAATTGTTATTTTGTGTAATTGTGTAAACAAAACTAATTATGCTGTGGACTAGTTATACTGTAGCTGAATTTGTCCCAGAGTTTTATTTAAGTAGTGCCACATTTCCAAGTAACTGGGAATGAACATCTGACTGCAGATATTTTCCTTGATGATGTGTCTCATTCTGAATTTGCAAGTAATTGTGGTAAATTACTGTCATTTTTCCTATTGATGTGTATACCCACAGCATTCATTTGATAGCTAATATATCACCTGAACTATCTATGACACATCACAGGGTTGTTTATGGTCATACCCAAGGAGAACATTTGAATGGATGACTCTCAGTAAAAAAAGTAGTGGCCCTCTTCAGAAGTTTAAGGCAAAGCTTTTATTTGTTTCCCGGGTAAGAAAACTACATTCTACAAATAGTCTTTATCTTTCTCCTCTTGGATAATAAATTTACCACTATCTTCTAGAATCTCATTATTTTTTAATTTAAATTTGAATTTCATCTTAAAGGAAAAAATGTACAGGTTCAGTAACAAATGAACCGACATTTATGAAATAAATTTTGAAAACTACAGAAACAGTAATTTATAAAAAAAGGCCTAGTTTTTCTGATTAACAAGTTAACAATATCTATTAGCAATATATTATAAATTATGTATTATAAAAGTGGTGAATGCAAAGCTTCATACTAAGCAGTATATTTTATGACACAGCTTTTTGTTAGTAAATTTTTAGCATGGTAATGGAGCTTGTAATAATATAAATTATTATACCAGATGGATAATTAAAGAAATAAAAATACCAAGGAATGGGTCCTTGGCTAGACAAATCTATGAACTAATTGTTTCCATAGTGCTGAATTTGAATAAGCAATTCCATAACCATTTTTTTCTTTCTGTTTGTGAATTATTTCTACACTCTAAAAACTCAGAGGAACATCATGTAAAGAGAAAAAAACTCAGACAAAATGCCTCTGAAGCTTATTCTGAGCACCTGCAGAATGACGTAGGTGAATGAATGTAAAAAACTACAGATCAAACTCGACACTGATAGTTGCACATAAATGCACGTAGAAAGAAAACCAGTCTAAGCTATAGATACAGTGACATGCATCAGTGTAACTGTTTCCACTTGAAAACAGATCTTGGGAGGCTTTTTCGTTAATTCTCTGACAATCTCAGTTTGAGTAGAGCAAAGAAGAAAATATAAATATCCCAATTTGTAAAAGTGGTATTTGCAAATAGTAAATATTTCATTAATTTCTGAAAATGCAAACACATAAAATCCTCCAAATCTGTAAAAAACATGGAGAATGGTGAGGTAAAAAATTACTTAGGATAAGTGAAAAATAAAATAAAGATTTTTGGTGTTTCAAATTCCAATTATTTCCCTTCAGATATATAATTTCTAGACCATGTGCTTGTCACATTTCTTTATCAAAAGGACAAATAATTTAGTCTATTCCATGACCCTTTTTAGGATTTTATGTGGTTTTTCCTAAATTAAGTGTTTGAAAAGTAGGCACTATAGTCTTAGCTATCCAGCTGTCTAATCAACAGAGGAAAATAGACACTACAGAAAAGTTTCAGCTTACCTTAACTTAGTAATCCAAAATTGTTCCAATGAATTACCCTTGAGGTGTCTAGTTCCATCTATCAATTCCAAAGGTGGTTTGACATGTCCAACTCACCTACAGTAATGTGCTACTGGTATTTCTGCCATATATATTTCTGTCTCCTCTTTGGTCTCCAACACTATCATGAAGAAATCCTCTACAATGATGAAAGGTTGATCAGTTTTCACTTTACTTCTCAGATGGCTAACTTGTCACCAACTGTTGAGCATTATTTTATTATACAAACCTTTAACAGACAAGAAATCAACTAGTTAGCAGTTTATACATTAAAAGCCTGGAAAAAAAGTCAGTAGGGGCTGCAAAACTACTTCTAGAACTCATTTACACTAGCAATGGAGAGAAGAGAGTTTGCGTATTGTATCCACTGCTTACCTCTCCACAATGTATGCTTATTTCAAAGCTTCTATTGCTTCAAGAGATGTTAATAATTACAAGGGAAAAGACATTTTCAGTAGAATATGATGATTTGCATGGAATGGGAAGACATGAAGTAGTAATAATGTCTAACAGGTCATGAGTTAATGAAAGAGTTTTTCAGTTTCCTACTTTTGAAAAAATCAGAGTGCTTAAATCTGAGTGAAAAGATTTAGTTGTGAAGATTGTAGCGAAAATATCGCACTGCATATGTGCATAGGATTTTGCTACATGATCTTATGAGTTTAAGGTTGTAGTATTTCCAGTTTTATTGTTACCTGAGAAATCAATTTATAGCACAGTTTGTTCTTGACGCTACTAACCCATTTTAAGCACATCAGATTTGTCCTTCAGACATTGCATAACCTTTCTGTCATTCTCTGGGATGAATTAATAAAATTGTTGTTGACTTTCGCATGCTTAATAGTCTGAAACATTTTTGTATTAACAGTTTGCATATTCCTGATAAAAACACTGTGAGGTATTTCACTTTCAGCTAATTGCCAGTTATAAATATCAACTCACAACATTTGGACAGAAAAGCATTTTTTTCCATGTGCCCTTATCACAAGTTTTTACTTCTTGCCATTTTTAGCTTAGCATTGAAGTTGATGTTAAATGAGGTACATAAATATATGTTTTATTGTATATTTGTGCACAAGGCAGTAAGGTTGCAAACATGAACCTTCTACTTTTAGTAGGATAATTTCAACTTAAAAATGCAGGAGTTTGATCAGGTCCAGTGAAAGCACAGTCTTATGTTAAAGGAGAAAAACAAAAGTATCAGGACTAAGTGCAGATTTTGATATAGAAGACTATTCAGTAGATTTAGTGAACATTATCCTTTTTATTCATAAGCAGTGAATGTAAAACTCATTTTATATTAAGCCATTATTATTATCTCTATCTAGCGTGAACTGTGGAAAATGTATAGTGATTTGTAGTTTACAGAAGTTATGTTTGTGTTAGAATTAGAAATATGAAATATATAGTAATTTCACTCTTGGGACTGTCCCTCTTTTTATGGCAACTATTATATTTGTGTTTTATTACGTTAGAAATATTATCTTTCATCTTAACAAATGTCTTGCATTTTTACTTTCTAATGAGACAAAATGCCTTCCACAGCAAATTTGGTTGTGAATTTTGTCAGTAGAAACCTGCCATATTTAATATTGTTCTTTTCTGGACTTCTCTGTGTTGTGGTTATTACGGCATGTAACTTTTTCTGTGATACTATTGGTACAGTGTCAGTATATACATATGACATCAACACTGGAGTGTTGATGTTTCTCTCTTCCAAGAAGTTACTGAACTGTTATGAACTCAGAACTAAATTTCTGGGCAGTAAGTGGAACAGAAGAGTATCCTTCTGAGAGAATAGTTTATTGAGTTCAAATCAATAAAAAGTAAATCAAAATAGCATATGTTCCAGATATTCCCCCATGAAAATATTTTCCTTTTCTGAAATGAGACCTGTTCATGCTCCATTTACTAATATTTTTTAAACTTTACTTTTTTTTTTTAAACCTATTATTCTCTCAAATTAATACCCCAAACGTGCGACAGCTGTACAATCAGAAAGTCATGTGTCCATGTCTCCTATTGCAATTAATTTTTCCACATACATATATATATAAATAGTAACTGAAGAAGAGATTTCAGCCTTACTAGGATCCTCTACAGAAGCAAACTGTAGTTTCAGAACAGTTAGTTTCCTTGCCTCAACCAAGAATATTTACTCAATTATATGAAGAGAGGCATCTGCACAGAGATATTATTGTTTAAGACAATCACCTGGCATGTACAAAGGGCAGATGAGTTCGGAAAACTCTCCACATATTTGAAAAATTACAGACTTCTGTATGATCCCTTTCAGGCTGATTAGCCACAATCTCCCAGTGTTCAATACTTTGTCAAGAGACTATATCATGGCTGGGTGCAGCCAAAGTCATGCTGAAAGCATGGAAAATAACCTATGTATCTTACAAATGTACAATGTTACTGAATACTGAAAAATGTGGTAAATGGTTGAGGAGGAGGTAATAATTTAGTTCTGGTTAGAAGAACAAATTAACTGAGAGTTGGTACATAACTTATTAAGAAAGATTTATAAGATTTCATTAGATTGGACCTACCAAGGTCAAGCAAGACTCTGTTGTAGACTCTGAACATAAAATGAAGGGTGGCATAACTTATGCTGTGTTTCCTCCTCTTACACGTTCAGACTGCTTAAACCTTTTCTTTTCACACCCATGTGACCTATGCATGGTCACCATTCTCCAGCTTCCTTTCATGCAAATTAGCTTAACATCCGCATGAAAAAAACAAACAAACCAAAACAGTTTTCTCCCTAGTCCTTTGTTAAACAGACAATTATCCTTAAAAATTGAATTATAATAATTTTTTTCTATCCCTGACAGGTTGCTCCATCTCTACAACATAACAATGGCCATGAACAAAGACTGGTTCATAGGTGTTCTTTTCTGCTTCCAAGGAAAAGGATGGGCAAAGGAGGAGCATAATTTGCATTGCCTCTCTTCAGAAGGGAATTTACAGCTCTAGTCTTGAGTTAAACAGCCATTTATGCTGAAGAACATGTAGCCCAGAGCTCTGCCTGTCATCTTTGTGTATGTGTGTATGCCTGTGTGCCTGTGTGTGCCAAAAGAATAGTGCCTGCTTTGAAAACCTTTGCTTCTGTCACATATTTCCTAAATTGGACATACAGGTAGTCTCAATAAAAAATAACAGCTGTCTTAGAAATATTCAGTTGCCTAGATTTTGATAAAGTACAATATCAATTCAAGAATTTTTCTTCTGTTCTTCTGAAAAACTATTATTAACAAAATTGAAAGTGAAAAATGAGTCTGTGAGGCCAGACTTGCTCCTAAATACAATTTGCTCTTACCACTCTGGTATTACTGTTATGGCTATTATGACATTTCTATGAATAAAAAATTTATATTATAAGAAGATCTATTTTCATTCCAAGTGATACTTTTTCATTTTTCCCTAGAAATATTCAACTAGAATATTGTAATAATAATAATTTACAATAATTACCTGTTTTTTATGTTGCAATGGTTTTTTTTCTGTTAGACACTCTGATACACACATTCATACATATATAAGCATACATATATATATTCATATATATTTTTATATTGTTTTGAATCTGCAAATTTGAATTAGGAAATCATATAACTGCTGCAAACAGAGCAAGCAATTCTTGTTGCATCAAAAAAGACTCAATATACAAACTATGATAATTATAATAACATTTCTTTACAGTGAAAAGATTAACATTTCAAATATTATGTTACCGTGACAAGATCCCCTTTGCAATGTGCCTTTATACACTTCTTCTATCTTTCAGAACCTCACTTCTCTGTAAAAATGCTGTCAAAGAAACAAATGCAGTATGTTTTCAAGTAACCCTGCAATCATTATGTGTAGAGCTCAGAAGCAGATCAGAGAACTATAGAAGTAAAAGAGAAAGTAAATCCTTATGTTCTTTCCACATATGAGGCTCTAGGAAGCATATGATTGAATAAAGAATCGAGCTGCAGTGATTAGATGTCAATGAGTTACTGCAGATGAGCAGAATTTCTGTAAACCAACAAGACAGTCAATCAGTTTAAGCTTGCAGGTGTAATCTCAGAGGACAACCTGTACCTCACAGAAGATTTAACCTTCTGCCATCATGAAAGTAATTCACTGGTTTATAGTTCTAGATGGTGAATGCCATAATCTTATGAAGATTACATGGAATTGCAAAATTTCACAGCAACTGGGTTTGGTTTTCTTTCTCTCTCTCTCTCTCTCTCTTTCTTTCTTTCTTTTTCTTCCCCATAGGAAAACATTGCATTTTACAGGACAAACATTAAGTGCTTACGTAGTCTAATAAATAGTTTACAGGGAAAATATTAAATCAGTTTTACATTGAGATGGTCTGGGATAGTTAGAAGACATTTACACTTGTAGCATCCTCTTTCTTTGGTGAGTGGAAAGGACTTCTTAGATACAATGTCTGAAGAAAAACTATAGAGATGTCATTAGATACAGTATCTGGAGAAAAACAGTATCTGGTATCTAGAGGAATGTCACAGTAGGGAAAGATTTGAGGAATGCAATGAGCAAGGCAATCAGGATTAGCAGGATAGCGGGCTGCACAGAACAATGCATTTTGCTGAGGTTTTTCTCAGTTGAAGAACTCCCTCAAGAAACTCAAAGTATGGCTGTAAGGCATTCATGAATCAACATTTACAATCAATACCCTTACCTGAGGCAAGGGAGCAAACCAGAAAACAAGACTGTCCAAAATGTGTGCATCATAGTAATTGAAGGAGGTGGCCAATGGTTTTGTTTGAACCCTACACTTCGAACTGGAAGATTCCTTGATCCTGGCTAGTAGAACTTGGATTAATAACAACAAAATATTGATGGCATGTCTGCCATTATAATCCAACATGATAAAAATAGGGGAAATATTGTTAAAGTTTATGACTTGACAGTTTCCAATTAACAGTTGATTATTTTGTTTAAAAAAAAAAATCTGGGGAATAAAAAAGCTAACCTTGCAAGCTTTTGAAATGCATTTAAAAGTGCTACATCATGTTGCAGGATGCTCCGGGCTGCCTTTACACACAGAGAAAAGTGTGATTAATTGTCCAGAGAGAGAGTGAAAGTTATTACAGTGGTTGGTTTGTGTGAGCAGTTTCCATCATTCTCCAACTATGTCTTGGTCCAAGTTGAATTTCAGCAATATGAAGTTTGGATTAAGTTTCATCCCAAGGTGTTGGAAACTAAACCCTTGTTTACTTGGTAGTACAGTTGTCATTAGAGAGACTGAAACCATCCTCATGGAGTGATGAACCATTCAGGAATGTTGTGCATCACAGATGGAAAGGTAGGATTGACCAACCAGAGGCCTCCTCTCAATACCCCTTCTTATGGGATTTGTAGTTGTCCGATAGTCTTGTGGAATTTAGCTCTGCAAATACCAGGTGATGCATCTGTAGACATATAATGCAACTTCTGTTATATGATGAGGTGCATCAGTAAAAGGAAGGACTATGAAAATGTCAATCAGTCATCAAGTCAACAACATTATACTGGGTGAGGGGTGGGGAGCACCACAAACTAATAGGAGAAATCAAAGATCTTTTCTGTGGAGGTAGAGAGTACTAAAGACTCTACTGATGTATTTTCTTGACTACTAAGTTGATACCTTAGATGATCAAGATAGCTGAGCTGCATAAATGTGTAAATTACTGGAATGAGTGGAGAATAAGGGTCAATATTAACAGCAGATATTGCAAGAGCAAAAGAATACCTCTGAAAGAATATTTTTGTGTTTTATAAATATATAAAAAGAATAAAAGCTAAAAAGAAGGAAGTATTAAGTATTAATCTTAAAGGATAGTGTTGTCATAAGATCAAATTATTATATATTTACCATGAATATATTTAGGCTGGAAAATTAGAAGCTGTGTTTATAAAGAAGAAAGAAACTTCATTAGACTGGTAAGTTGACTGTAGTTAAAAGTTTACTTGTATTCTTTGTATCTTTCACTAGTTTTCAGTGATGCTTCCAACAAATGCCCCATGTATAAGAAGACTTTTGATATTTATTGCAAAGACTAGGTTTTGAAAAAGAAAAAAGGAAATATGATGATATTTTCCCTTTGATGACTCATGAAGTGTTGCTTCCTAGAGCATGTGCACATTGTCAAACAGTAGACCTACTGCAATAATTTTAGAATATTTAGTCTGTAACTACTTAATTCAGTAGCGATCATACTAGATCAACATAGTACAAGAGACTGGGCTGACAAGATAGGAATGAAAGAGAAACTGGACAAAGGTTGCATGTGGATTTGAGTGGCAAGAGTAATAGAAGCTTTGAGTTTTTGCCAGGTCAGAACCTTTGACAGCATGAAACTTACTTATCCCTTCAGTATTGCACTACCTGCATCTTGTTAATCACTTGCAGTTCCTGTAAATCAGTGTTTTTCATACATCTATATGAAAAAAAACAGATAATGGATAAATAGAAACATTGTGAATAAAGTAAGGATGTTTGCCAAGCCTACTTTCATAGTTTTCCCTGGTTTCTTTGCTCAGTTTAATTACTAGAAGCACAATTCATCTGATATTTTAGGAGAAACTTAATATAATATTTTGCACTTTTTTTTCCTGTTTTTACATCTAAATGTAATCAGACATGACTGATGACCCGTTTGCTAGCGCCACTGGAAACATGTCGTAGAGCCTCCATAAAGATGCTTTCTCCCCTGAAGATACTTTGATAGATTTATATGCATGATGCAATGTCATGAAGGGATAGCCAAGTGTGTTGTGAAAGACCTAGTTTGGTTACTTGCTTATCTTGCTTCTTGCACGTCAATGCACCTGCCATCGCAGCACAAGGTTTCACATGTTATATTCTGTTGTATTTTGACCAAAAAATTCAGGTGGGGGTATTGTAACACTGAGGTCCACAATTTAGGAAAATACTGTTCCACTAGGGTCTCAGGTAGTATTTTTTGCTTATTTTTGGAGATTTTGATTTATGCAAAAAATGCACTTGTAACACCTTAAAAATTAAAAGGCAACTCCTGAAACACAGATAAAAGCTGACTCTGAGGTAGAAGATCTAGACAATGAGACTGTAAAATACTTCCAAGAGTTCTGTTCTGATATCTGTATCAAAGATCCCTTGACTTCAAGCAAAAAGAACATTCTACAAGTGAGGTCTTTTGGACAAACTGTGGAGTCCCATATTTTTTCCATCTAATCTTTGTAGTGCAAAAGATAGGTTAGTGTTATTTGGGAATTTAGATAAAGGTTATATATTGAAAGTTAATCCTCTTGCATATTTTTCCTGAATCTGTTAACAAATGTCTATATAATCTATGCCACTGGAATAAAGGTAATTTCTATGACACATCCCTTCAGATACTATTCTCCAAATTTCCCATTACTGTACATCAGTATCTTGTAAGTATCCAGATGTAATAGAAAGATGAGCATAAATTATTATGAAATTTATCAATAGGAGTATTGGGTAATGACTAGAAATCTGAAATCTACTCACAGTTATGCTCGTAGCTTTTTACAGCTCTCTGCCCATCTTCCTTTCTTCATAAAGTTAAAATAACAATCTATTTCTATTGTAAAGCTGTGGTGAGATTTCCCTATGGAGAGCTTTATCTGAATAATGGGAAGGATGGCAATGGTTACCTAACCACGTTTCTGTTGCAGACACATTTATATGCAGGTACAACTTCAATTATTTGCAATAGGTGCCATGTTTGTCTTCTAAAAAGACATTGCTTTTTTAATTCAGTGCACATATTCTCTGACAAAAGAACGTTTCATTAAATCTGAGTTAAGGTTGTCCATAGGTTTGTGCCCTACCTACAGATTAGGGTCAGTGAAATGTAACATTTTAAAATCAGAATATTCTGAATCAGAGGACACGAAATTGTTAATCTGCCACCTTTGAGCAATGTCCTTAAAAGTCCACAATACAGAGATTCACACTTAGTCTTTGCCAACAAGGTTATGTTTGAGAGGAAAGAGAATGATATCTAACACTTTTTTTAACCTTTTCAAAGGTAAAGGTGTGGCTAAATGAACTACTGTGAGTTGAAGGTATCCCCATGTGGGTTACAGCTAGGAAGTAACTCCAAATATACAATGATTTACAATCGCTTTATATATTTCCGTAAATTAAGTTGACTTTTTTTCTGCAGGATTTTCGCTTTCACAGCACTGAAAAATCTATTACAAGAGATGGCTTGAATTTCTTTGCACTGGTATTGGATTAAGACACATATGCATATCTCTTTCCTTGAATAAACTCAGTAGACACTCAGATCCAGCTCTCCTTACACTGCCAAGCTTCTTTGACTAATCCTTTCACCATTCAATATCACTGCACTTAGCACAGTGAATCCAGTTGAAATGCATGTGGATTTTTGCCAACAGGGGAGGAAGAGTAGAGTCAATACTTCACTCTCTTATTTTAGCATTCTTTTTCTTGATTTTCACAAGTTTAAGTTATACACGCATCAACTTGTTTCCTGGTTTGCGGATATATGAAAGTCACCAGATTAAACATTCTGGAAAGGAACATGACTGTACTGATATTTTAAATCCTGGTAAAAGACTTTTTTTTTTCAGATATTTATTGTGTACTACATGCTTCAGACCCAAACAAGGTAAGTTGCCAAGAAATGTTTTACACAAAGTGTGAAGAAACAGGGAGAGGGATTATGTGGCTGTTAGGAGCTGCTGTACATACTTGAGGTCATGCAAAAGTTTGTCAAATAGAGCAAAGTAAGAAGAATGTTCAGGATTCAGTAAGAAAAACAAGGTAGTCACAAGATGTTTTCATGATTTAAAGCTCCAGAGTTGGGATCTGAAGTATATGACAGATACAAAGGGTTTCTCTGTAATGCTTGCTGCTGGCAGTGATTTTTGGTGTCCTGGGACTAAGCAGTAGGAAACAGAGACATTGTGAATACCAGAGAGAACAAGATCAAGAACAGAATCTGCAAGAATTTCAGCAGACAGTTTGCCCAAAAACAAAATACAGATTTATGAATTTCTTTTGAACATGGGGATGTCTATGGCATTGTTTTATATGGGAAAAGTGAATAATTTAGTTTTCTGTTTGTCCTAAGAGAGAAGTTTGGGAGTTGGGAGAGCAAAATATTGTCAAACCACCAGTCATTCAGAAAAATATGAAAAAACATTATGATAACTTATCAAGGATCTGGCAGAGCCTTCTGGTGGAAGCAAAAATAGAATAAATGTTAGAGAAAATGCATCATTCATCTCTGGTGTGGCTACACTCATGCAATGACATTGTACAAGAGGTGATTACTGATGAGGTGATAACAGGCAGTAGGGAGCCATGAATAAAGATATCCAAGGAAAGTCATAACCACACGATTCCTAAAAAAGGAGTACCTTTAGAAACATTTCACTTTTCAAACTGTTATGCAAGGCTTCCTTGAAGAATAACGTTTCTAAGCATGAAATCAAATCAATTTCTTCTTTGCTTTTGTTAACAAAATTGATACTCCAATTTTTACCTTGGAAAGAGACTCCATAGTGAAAAAAAAACCACAAACCCCAAAATCAGACGATAAACAAACTCTTTTTGAAAAAAATTAATTGATGACTTCGCTACAGTTTTCAAACTTTACAAAATTATGCAGATGAAATGCCAGATTGCCACACAGTTTGGATCATAACATACAAGGTAGGTGTTTTCATGCTGCAGGATAATCACAAATAAATCTTCAGTTTCTACCTGCAGGAACAGCTACTAAAATTGCATAACTATAAATAACAGAATGACTCTAGCTGGTACAACTTCTGGCTGTAAGGAGAAGAAAAAAAGGGAAAATCAAAGGAGAAAACAAAAAATACAGATGCCTTTTACACATTAATTTGATTGTGCACAAAAGCTTCAGAGCTCTGGATTTTACCCAATAACCCTCTAAAGAACATTTTGTCTCAACAGAATTTTATAAGGATATGGTGGATAAAAGTGTGAATCTGA